TTTAGCAGAAAGGTCAAGAGCATCATTAAGGGCATCTGACCTGAAAACACCTTACAAGCCTTGAGGTTATTAGTAGGCACAAGTTGTCTGGAAGTACATGTACTTTTGACACACTAAAACCTGTTATAGATTAGGTGAAATATACTTTCACTTGTAAACAAATGAGAAACCTGATGATGTGCACTTACTCAAACATTGTGTTCCAGCGGTATACAGTCGTTCTACCCAAGAGTCAAACCACCCGAGAGTCAAACCGCCCAAGACCTTTCTGCCCAAACTTTGAAGTCATTGCACCTGATGTATATGTTGTCTTATCTATGAGTTGTGTAGAGTTATTTAAAATGGTATCTTACATAAAACTAGTGTTTTATGAGTTTCTGTAACGAAATACAACATGAATGGTATAATATTTTTTCTGAGGTGTATACTGACATCACAACTGACTTTTTGCCTCAAATATTTGGCCTTGAAGCATCTATTACATATAAAAATGATTTTGCTCTTGATTGCAGAAGTTCCGAAGAAGTTAAATATTCCAACAGTTGAATGAGCTGTTGTTTCCATAACACAGTTAACAAATATCTACAAACATTACTAAAAGAAATAATAAAAAATGGAATAACAGCTTAATCTTTGTAATTTTATGCACTGTTTGTTCGTCAGGCAGATCGACTTCCATTCTTGGGCGGATCAACTTTGGGTGGATTGTTTTTCGGGTGGAACACCCGCAATTCATCACACAGGAAGTCATACTATTAATTAGAGGTTAAAATCAGTCTTTTCAGGAATTTGTGATTTCTTATCATCTTGCAAAGCAATAATATTCGCAACAAAAGCTATGTCAAGGAGAGGAAATTATGTCAATTAAAGTGTTGTAAAGTATGGATTGTAAGGGAAAGCTTGCCATGTGTTGCAGCTTAGCACGCCTCTGTTTTTTAGCAAATCACGCGCTATATTTAAACCGATGATCAGGTTATTGAAACCAAGCAACATTAGAATTACGAATTAAAGTCTTCCTAGATTACAAGTAGATTACTTGATAAAATAAAGATAAAGGATGCCCTTCGCGCACGCCTTACGCTTGTCTTTCTTCTCTTGTAAAACACAAAAAATTGCACCTGTTCTACAGGCTTCCTGTTGCTCGGTATACCGACCGAGTCTCGATCGATATTCGATACGTCTGTTGACTATCGACCGATGTATCGACCTACTATTGACCAATGCGTCGAACGATACATCGGTAGACATTGCAGTTACACATGATTCAATACTACGACGGCGATGGCAACGAGAGGGTGGCAAAATAAAAAATTTCATCAACTGAACGATGGCTTAGCTTGTGTGTTTTACACCTTTGTACGTTTCATGGCCGTCCTTGGCAAAACAAGAACGTGAACTTAACATTAACTGTGCGAAAAAAGAAATACCAATGACTAATTATTCACGTTTTCTCTCCTTCGAACTGTAAGCCACATTCCCATGCGATGCTGGAGGATAAATCTGGCACCGTTAGCGACTATAAATACATCGAGCCACTTGTATATTTCTTAGGAGAAACGAAAGTTAACTTTGAAAGCGATGTTTTGCTAAGCCTCGCCGTCGTGACACCTTGAAGTCATGTTCAAGCACACTCTAACAAAAATGTAGCTCTTCAAAAGGTATCTCACCGACAAGTCCGTCAGTAATGGTGAATGAGACCGAGAGAACACACAAATACAAGTTGCTAACTCCCAACATGTTCACGTCTGGGTCAAAAGAAGGGTGGACTTTAAGCTGACGACGACTTCCGAACCAAACAACACACTCCCATCGAAAAATCCTTTGCTTAAACTGCGTCCAAATGAATGCTGGGATCGGTCAGAGCCATACCAGGTGTCAAGTATCACATGACTTTTGATGTAAACAAGCCGCGCGCGCGAAAGTTCGGATAATTATCATCGTGCCTGTGTACGAACTTCGGCATTTTTGTTGTTAATTATTTCCATTGTCACGAAGAGTTTCTATGCTCAAAATTGACTTCTTTTTTGCATCATGTGATTGATTATTTATTAGCTGATATTTCGCAAACACTAAAGTAGATGCGAAGAATGTAGCAGGAAATGTTCCAGCAAGAAATAATCAAAATAGTTCTGCGAGCAGAGGGGCATTTTGTTCCGCATGTCCGGTAAATTTTAGTTTGATACGAGAAACCGCTGGTATGCGCCTGCGTCGGTTTCCCTCTCGAGAATCACGAAAGAAAAGAAGCAGTAAAATACGTCGGAAAAAACAATGGTTCGAGTATTTGAGACAACCTTTCTTCTCATTTTTTCTTCTGTAACGTAGATGGAAGCGGCAAATCCTTGAAATTATTGTGTGATGTGTGGAAGGAAGTTATTTTCAGAATGCAAAAGATTATTCAAGTCTTGTCTCGTGATTGTCTGGGCGATCGATGAATATAATGTTATTTTTGAAGGATGCAAGTGGCCTGTCGAAGAGTACAAAAGAATTGGATAGTATACTTTTATCGTGTCATTGCTATCTCAAGTTATCGGTGATCATTTGAAGTACTCGCCTTTCTGTAAGCGTTTTTTAGAGCTTCAACTGTACTGCTAGTGCAGTGTACCTCCAATTTTAGCAAAAATGTAAAGTTCACAGAGGTTTATGTTTTGTTTCAAAAGTTTTTTTTGACATGAATCACAACCAGCAGTTAAATTACAAGAGTTGTGTGACAATTTGACGGTCTGAAAAGACTCTTACACATGCCAAAGAACAAAGAACCGGTAAGGCTGATATTTAACAGTGAGGATAAAAATTAAAAAAAATAAATAAATAAAAAGCCTTTTCTTTTCAGGAATAAGACTTAGTGAGGTCAGATTAAACTAATGTGAAGAGGTTTGTTGATCTCTTTATGAAAATGGATGCTTTACATCTATCAGATTTTAGAGAAATGAGACTTAAGTCAAAAGGGGACTTTGACATTGCATATTCTGCAGTAATGGGCATCAGCTTGGATGCCTATTTGCAGAAATTAATAGTTTTCAAGCCAAGGGTTTGGCTGTGTTAATTTTAAGGCAGAAAATCATAAATCAGTCGCTTAGGAAATTTTATAGCTCTGACTGGAAGCTCAAACACTCTTAAGGAACAGGACAATATTTCACCTGATCACTCCTCATATTCTTTTCCCATGAAATTTGGACAAAACTTTCAAAAAACTTTATTGGTAAATTTTTATAGTTGCAAAAAAAGTATAGACACAAGTTGCATATAGCATAAGCTAGTTGAGGCAAGTTGTGTGGAGAGAACAAAAGATTGATAATTTATACCAGTAGTAAGCTTCTGGTACTAATGACATTCTCTTGAATGCCAGCTTGCCTCAGCAAATGTCACACCTATCCTTTCTTTCAATAGTACCGACCATATGTAGTGGGGTCACTTCACATCTCCCTAAACAGCAAAGAACACAATAGTTAATTCCAATCATCAGTCTCAATTAAGAAATAAAAATTGAAGGATCAAGACTTGTCTGGCAAAGAGAAATACAAGTCAAACTGGTTTGAAGACATTTTAACCCGAAATTCGTTTCAAATATGACAGAAATACTGTAGTTCACATTCTAAAGAAACAAGGAGTTCCAGCCCCTTGAGTAATTATTCATTTGTTTGTTAAGAACCAGAGAAAGTTAGATAATTTTAATCTGCGAGTTTTATAGTACACTTCGACTCAAAATTCATCTCGTATGGCAGAAGTATTCTACTGAAATAAACAAGATAGAATGAAGTTGACGCCATCCGTTTCAAATAACACATGAACAAGAAGAAAACGGCACCAGTTTAAGCTCATGAGACAAAGCCCACACAATTTTTTAAGTAAATGAACTGGTTAGACCGAAAGCTAAATAAACTAGACCCTGTGAGCAGGGTAACTGGGATACCTGGATGGTACTGGATCCCTGGAATCAAGTGTAGTGATACTACGGGTGTCGGATTAGTATACTGAAATAGTCAGCTCAGGTCTGGCTAAGGGCATACACCTATTTCAAAACATAGGCATGCTATGCATGCAAGAGTTATTTTTTGTAGGGTGGGTGGATTACTTGTGGTCTACATTCTTACAAAAGGAAAGAAGAGTATTAACGTGGAAAAGAACGAAAATGTCGAATTACCTCACACACAGGTATTTTGTGGTAGATTATGTGTGTTGTGCGAATAAATGTAACCAAAAATAAACTGTATTGGTGCCACAGATACCTGTTAGTGCAAAATGCAGACAGCAGACCGGATACAAAATATAGACTGGAGACTGCAGAGTGGGTACAAAATGCAGACTGAGAATCTGAAGAGTTTTTACGTCTGGTAAATAACAACATGTCATCTTACAGCTTACCGAGCGTCACGCAATCGCTTTTCCTCGATCAGCCTTCACGATTATTTGCACTATTGTGGAAAATTCCTGGCCCATTTCTTGATGAAAATCGATCGTAATATAATTTCAAGCCTTCAATATACTCTTCTTATTTTGTGCGCGAGTTGGTTTGTGTGATGTCTGTACAGATTTTACCAAAGTAATAAAAGTAGATGATGTGAATAATAGTGATGGTAAAGCAAGCTTAAAACGGCAGAAATCACCAGAAACTACAACGGATACACAGGTTATGAGTAAGTTTTATTGATTTTTCGAGAAAAATCTTCATATTTCGAAATATTTATCGTTGTAAATCGACCATATTTCGTTCCCTATACTATTCCTTATAACGTGTTCAAATTTTCAACGGTTCCTAGAATAACTTACTCTGAGTCACACAACGCGTGACGCGTTCGTGAATTAATCGTTGGCTCTTTCTCGAAACGTGACCTTGGGTCGCCTGTGACAAGACAATAGTCCTTTTTACAGTTCCTGGCGCCATATTGGATTAGTAACCGCGCAAACACGATAGTGAGGCTGCCGGTGACCCGATTCGGGCGTCGCATAAGAGTTTGTTGGTGTTTTCAAGTGTTTCGTTGGTTTGTCGAGTCTTTGGTGAGATGAATGAAAGCTTAAGCGTCGGGGAAACATCCTCCGCCCCTCGAAAGAGAAGAGGAAAGTATTGTGCAGCCTTTGAATGCAATAATAGCGCCTATAATGTAAACGGTACTCATACAAGTTATCATTTCTTCGAGTTTCCCAAGGACGCTCAGCGAAGGAATCGGTGGTGTTCACTTATCAAGCAGCGACACGGACAGGACGGCTTTGTTGTTTCCACCGCCACTGTCCTCTGTCATGAGCATTTTCGGGCAGAAGTATTCTCGAAAAAACTTTATGGTCGCTGGAATTTGAAGACAGGTTTGTGATATTGTCGAGCTTTTGTTGTGTGCGTTCGTGATTTGAGCTATGAAAAACTTAAAATTCAAAGATATTTTGGTCTTTAGAAACAAGGATTCGTTTAATTTTTCCCAAATCAAAGATTTTGGTTGTTTTATTCGACGATTGTTGTTTTATTGTAAACTTTATGATTCAAAGTGTTTCATGTCTTGTGATTTTTGTCACTGAATGATAGAATATTTAATGTATGCTTATTATTATTGCTGGACTTCACAAAAGTAATCAATTTAATTGCAGATTAACTCATAATAAATAAATCTGAAATGATTACTGTCACATTTACTAAGTTTTATTTATTTATTTACAAGGTGCAGAGCCATGTATATTTAGCTGGACAAAGCAATCAAACCAAAGAAAGGCACCAAAGGAAAGAAAGATGGACGAGTCAACTGTTGGAGTAGCAGCATCAGCATTGCAGTTTGGATCCTGCTCAGTATTTCCTTCTATCGATGCGTCAACTGATGCTGCTCATTCATTTTCAGAGTGTGATGAAAATGCTGCTGAAGTGGAGTGTGAGTCCCCTCAAACAGAGCCTGATTGTGTCCTTGATCTGCAAAGGAGAATTGAATTGCTTGAAACTCAGGTAGCTGACTGCCAGGAAAAACTCAGTGAAGCAGAAAAGGAAAATGCTGTGTTATCGGAATGTCAATTTTCCATTGACAAAATTAAAGATGACAATGCTGCTGTTTTATTTTACACCGGATTCCCAAGTTATGAGGCATTAATAAGCTTCTACAAATACATTGAGCCAAAGCTTTCCAAAATGTTACTGGAAGGGTGAAAATCTAGTAAAGGAAAGCCAGCCTTATCAACTGTCTGTGGCCTTCTGACAAACTTTTTACCCCCTTTACTGCCACTGGCCAATCTTTGATTCTAGTTTTTGCTGTCTATTTATTATTAGGTAGAAATGTTTACATTTTTTGCATTTTAAAATTGTGGCAGAAGCCCAGCTATCAGTCTAAGCCTGCTTCCCGTAATCAACCCCTTGGGTTCCATTAATTTTGTATTCCAAATAATAGCACTTGCATGTCAATGCATATTAATAACTATTGGGATTCCATATAGTAAGTTATCATGGAACCAAAAATTCCCACTTTATTTCATTTAAAAATGAAATTGTACATGTATTTTTACACAGTGCATGCTAGTAGACAAGAATGGTTTTGAATTGTTCCCTTGATTTATTTATTGTTCACCTTATGTTGACCTCTGAAGTTTTAACTTTAAACCATTTCTTGAGCATGAATAGTGTCAGTATGGAAGCCAACCACCATGTAGGTAAAGGACTTTCCCTCTTTTAACTCGTTCAGTTAGCATCTCAGGGAAAAAAGCCCTTCGATAAAAATAATCAATCTTTGGCAACAATTCATCATACCATTTGCTGTTTTGAAAGTGGATTTTTTCAATAAACAGTGGCATGTTTTCTCCAAAGTACACTACAAAAATTATTCCTTCAAGGGGTATAATGGAACAGTACAGCTGACCTTGAACTTGACAAAAGTAGTTGTGGTTCCTTTTAAGTTGTACAGACCCATCAGCCAGTTTCTCCAAACAAAAATTCTTTTCTTTGCAAGCTTCATCAACAGTCATGCCAGCCTTGCTGAAAGGAGATTTTATTTCCTTCCCCCATTTTTTATCAGTGTCAATCATAGTTACTACTCTGTCTAAGCTCGCTCCAAGGTATGGTTTGTCTTTAGACAGTGACAATCCAGGTTCCTCCACACTTACTGCAATACCATCCCTTCTCATTTCCCTTATAAATAAATTGACAGCTTTCTGTTCGCTTTCAATTCCATACTGCACAGCTTCAGTTGTAAAGTTACTGTAGAATAGTGCTTTCAATTTATTTGAAGGTTCCACTCTTGTTTTGGCAGCATTTCCAAAATTTGAGGCTGTCAATACAGTTTTCCTTTTTTCAAACCATAGGTTGTTCTTGGCTTGCCCCCTAGTCAATCTTTCAGTTTCCTGGATCTCCACCAGAGTAATAGTTAGACTGGAAACATGCTCATCGATCATATTTTTAAAACGATTAGTAGCTATGTCACAGTTGTCGGTGAAGGCAACACTTTCCTGTTTCTCTTCAGTCTCTTGAAAAGTGGGCACCTCAGAACAGTTCGATTTGATGTCATGAAAAAGAAAAAATGAGCAGGAAGGCAGACAATTTTGAAGGCTCTCGCTTAAAGTTTTGAACCTTCCTTCATCTCTGTTGCGCTGTTGTGGTGGTCTTGGGTCGAACTTTATAATTTTCGGCTTAAGGTGGATGTTCTTCTTCCCAAATCTTATTTTTCTTATTAAGATTTGATCAAGGGGCTTGGCTGCAACGCTCTGATTGCGTGGAACCACCCATACCGAAAGACGCGATGTGCACGATAGTGCTTCAGGATGTTTTTGTAGACCCCGTCTAGTAAAGTCTTCCAAGGCAAACAGCACACCTCCAATATGACTGCACTTCCCCTCACCCTGTGAGCCAAGCCCGGCGGGACAGGCACAAGCTGCGCGTGATACATCACACTGAGATCTGAACTCCACGACCACTCGGTAAGACGTCTTTTTCATCGATGGCAAAACACCGGCTTTTACGTACGTCTTGTCCTCATGGGTTTTGCTTTCAAGCCTTCTAACGTTTCCTTCGAAGAAAAATTGGTAAGATTTTAATTTCTTATAATTTGTTCTCTTGAGTACAATGTGGCGATACTTGCGCGTTGACACAACCAGGTAATCGTAAAGCTGAATAAAATTTAGTTCGGGAAGCTGACGTAAATGAGTGGACCATCCGAGAGCAGAGATTCGTCTTAAAGTTTCATCGTACTTGAAGTCACCACTATTTTCCGTTGTATTCTGGTGATCCTGAGCAGTATTATCGCTACTTTGCTGCTGATACTCACCCGGTCGTAGCACGTGTCGCATAAGTAACGCGTAGACTTTTAAAACCAAATCTGCTTTTATTCCGCCCGTCGCTTCCGAATTAGAACGCAAAATTTCCCTTAAATCCTTCACTTTTAACTTCTGGATATCTTCTAGCGTTGTAATCTGCATATCCTTGCAAACTAGCACCATTTTAGAAGCGATTGAACCACGAAAGACTTCTCCGATCAGCTGTATTTACTGTTTTTGTAATACGCGGGTCACCGGCAGCCTCGTTATCGTGTTTGCGCGGCTACTAATCTAATATGGCGCCGGGAACTGTAAAAAGGGCTATTCTTAAAAAAAAAAAATTCATCTCATAAAAGAATATATTCTAACGTGCCGAATGAATTTTTCAAAGAATTCTGAAAAAGGGCTAAATTGTGTCCATTCATCTTAAAATTGAAATAAATTATAGCTCGGGACATCCCTAATTTTCCATTTTTTTCTAATTAATTCCAGAAAAAGGGGGCTAATTCTGAGAATTCGTCCCGTAAGTAGAATACATTCTAAGTTTCCATATCCAATCTTCAACCCGATCTGCACTTCTATTTTTATTTCAATGAATTCCAGAAGAACGGGGTAAGTTATAATAATTTATAGCGTAAAGGGAGTATATTCTAAGTTGTCATATCCAATCTTTACCCCGATTTTCCATTTTTTAATGAAGTAATTCAAGAAAAACAGGGTAAACTCTGAGAATCCATGCTACATGTGGATAATACCCGAAGTTCCCAAATGCCATCTTTGCCTCGATTTTCCGTTTTTTTAAATGAATTCTAGAGAACAGGGGTAAATTTTTAGTCATCATCCCGCAAGTGGAATATAACCTGTACGTTGTCATGTCAAATCTTCCTTGATTTTCCCTTTTTTAGTGAATTAATTATACAAAAACGGGGTAAACTCTGAATTAATGCTAATAGCGGATAATACCCGTAGTTCCCTTATGCCATTTTTACTCTGGTTTTGCAATTTTTTTTTCAAGGAATTATAGAAAAACGGGGTAAATTCTAGTAACTCATCCTCGAAGTGGAATATATTCTATTGACCTGCCACATCTAATCTACTTTACCCCGATTTTCCATTGTTTTCAATGAATTATAGAAAAACGGGGCACATTCTGAAAATTCATCCTCCGAGTGGAATTTATCATGTTTATCCTACTGACTTGCCATATCCTATCTTTACCCGATTTTCCATTTTTTTTTCAATAAATTCTAGAAAAACGGGTACATTCTGAGAATTCACGCTATAACTGGATAATACCCAAGTTCCCATATGCCATCTTTACCCCGATTTTCCATGTCTTTTTTCAGCGGTGAATTCTACGATTAGCGCTAATCGTTAGCCCCCCACAATAAAGCACTACGCAATAACTTAATTGTAATTAGGAATATTGTATAACGCCCGCTTTCATTTATTATTTATTTCCTTAGAAATTCAAAACGTAGGCACAACAACGCCCTATATAATATATTCTTCCTCGTTAATTGTAGTCATTCCCCAAAGAAGTCTCAATTAGAGACGAAACGCGTCCGAAATAAAAGAGAAGCCTACAACTACAAAAAGTGTTTCTTTGTGCGGCTCGCTAGTCTTAGTTAAAAATGAAAGATAGAAAAAATTACAAATTTTAAAAGAAGTTTATGTTCTTAGTGAATTCCAGAAAAGCGGGGTAAATTCTGAGAATTCGTCCTTCAAGTGGAGTAGATCCTATAGCGCCAATCTTGAACCCGATTTTCTATTTTTTTTTTCAATGAATTCTAGAAAAACGGTATGAATTTTGAGAATTCGGCCCGCAAGTGACTAATACCCTCAGTTCCCACATGCCATCTTTACCCCGATTTTCCATTTGATCGGTGAATTTTAGAAAAACGAGGTAAATTCTGAGCATTCATGCTACAAGTGGATAATAGTACCATACGCTATCTTTACATCGATTTTCCATTTTTTTTCAACAAATTCTAGAAAAACAGGGTAAAATCTAAGAATTTATCCTCCAAATTGAATAGATCCCAAGTTGCTATATCCAATCTTCAACCCGACTTTCCATTTTTTTTTCAATGAATTCTAGAGAAACGGGATTAATTCTGCGAATTCATCGGCAAGTGGCTAACACGTTAAGTTCCCATATGCCATCTTTACCCCGATTTACCATTTGATCAGTGAATTCGAGAAAAACGGGGTAAATTCTTAGCATTCATGTTGCAAGTGAATAATACCCAAAGTTCCCATATGCTATCTTTACCCCGAATTTCCATTTTTTCCCCAGTAAATTTGGCAAAAAACGGGGTAAAATCTGAGAATTCATCCTCCAGATAAAAAAGATCCAAAGTTACCATATCCAATCTTTAGCCCGATTTTCCATTTTTTTCAATGAATTCTAGAAAAATGGGATAAATTCTACGAATTCATCCGCAAGTGGGTAACACGCTAAGTTCCCATATGCCATCTTTACCCAGATTTTCCATTTGTTCAGCGAATTCTAGAAAAACGGGGCAAATTCTGTGAAATTCATCCTTTAGGTGGAATATATCCTACTGACTTGCCATAGCCATCTTTACCCCGATTTTCGATTTGATCATTGTGTGAATTTGTCATAAACGGGGTAAATTATGACAAATCCACCCAAACGTGCAATAAATCCAACAATGATTTAGAAACAGTACTAAAAAAAGAACAGCTAAAATCAGCGGGACCGCAATAAAATCACATCACAATCTACTACTTCAAAATTTTACGGAGGGCTCAGTGCGATACAGCAAAAACCTACAATATTCAAAATAAACAACCAAAGGCCAAACTTCTGTGATTCAAGGAAGACTTCGTGACGCGACGCTGACAAATTATCACAACTTTGACCTCTCAGTCGATCTGACCTCCGACAGATCAGCGAAGCGTCAAAAATATATAATTTCATGCCGACGAACCATAACCTATGATCTTCAACTATTAAAGAAAATAAAACAATAGTGATATGACGCCACATTGTGTTTTTGTCTTAGCTTGTGTGTAAAATGTTGTCAATGGAGTCGCAAGTCGAACAATGAAGACAGTAAATAAAGCAAGACTGCAAATAAAGCGTGAACGATAACGCATCTTTTGGTCGAAAGTCGCTTTGTTATTTACGTAGCAAGTTATTCTTTCACGTTTAGGCTATAACAACGATGCGATCACACGGCGCTAACGAAGGAACGATAGAATTTCAAAGAAAATAATGTGAGAGGTCAATGATCCGGTTCGCAGTGATCATGCGAACAGCATGGTTTCCTGGATCAGTTACCGGAAAATACTGGTCAAATTTTCCACTTATCCCGACCCCCTTGAATGAATACTTTTGCTTGAAGACCTAACTACAACGGAGTCTCTTAAGAGAGGATGTCAACATCCATCGTACAAATTTGAAATTTTGTGGCAAGTGGCCCAAAATTCGTTTTCTCTGCTACTTTCATACTTTGAAGCCCAATATGGTCTAATAATTGTGGTGTAGTTTTTTTGTGAAAATATATTTTAGTTTTCGAGAAATGACT